TCTATTGCAGAGGAAAAAGACCAGGCACATGTTCGCGCTGAGCATCAAGCAGTTGATAAGGAGAGTATTTCAACTGAATTGGGACAGCCACATGCCCCTCTGAGGCGCTCAGTGCTTGCCGTAAAACCACCAACCCGTTATGGTTTTGAAGACGAATAGACTCTAAACTTTGAACTCATAAGTGTTATCATAAGTTCTGTTTAAGGGAGGGAGAATGTTATAATATTGTTTCGTTGGTATTGGTCTTCCTGTGCCACTATCTGCGGTACTTTATGACCAGCGACACTCACTCTTATGTTTATCCGCCATATTATTGTTTGTAGCATTAAAGTTGCTTTTTAAAATTAAATAAAGAATGGTAAATTACAACAAGTCATTCATATTGTGTAACTTTTGCATGCTGCTGAGATTTCAAGATCTGCGTGACCTCATCTCTCCCTCACCCCCCTCACACACATTTTCCATGGACAAGCAATAGATTGAGCAAAAGTTTAATTTCTCACATTAAGAATATGAATTAATGTTACCCCTCTGCTATTTTCAAACATGCTCCGTCGTCCTTTAGCTGTAGCAAGGAAATAAGTCGATATTCAACCTCCCCCTCCCACATTAATGGATTTCTGCATTGTCTTAACCAACCAGTATGCAACAAATAAAAATGGTACCAAAAACAATGATATCAATTGTTGAGTGAAGAGGAAGATCGCATTTTGACATTTTTTACGCATTGGATGAAATGAAGTTGATGTGCACTTCTAAGCAGAACTAAGGAAGACTTGAAATTTTATGCGCTGCGGTGGGGTAGAGCAGTCAAATAAAAGAATCAGTGAAAGATAATTTACAGAACCAACAATTTTCTTTAGGAATCGTTACCATGGAAACATTGTCAATAATCATATTTGAGAACTATCGATTACAGTCCCATCGTGTGTCTTAAATCGTCTTCTAGTATCTCGCACTTCAATCTTCTAAAGTTGTGCGACACAAATGACATGCAATGCTACAAAAACAAATTTCAATATAAATAACTTATTTATCAACAGCCGTATAGCAACAAAAATTTCACACCGATGTTGTGGCGTACGACTGCAGTTAAATAAAAATAATTTGTTTAAAATATTTATGTCATTTTATACCTGCTTTTATAAAGTACAAACACAATATTTACAAGTTTTTCCCCGGTTTTGTTTTACCAGTATGAGTGACAAAGACGATGACAGCGACGAAATATTAGAACTCATGTTATCTGCAATTCAAAGGTAATAAATTTTTGTTCATTCTTTTTCTTTTTGAATGAAAAACAATATTGTTAACCATACACTAACGCAAAACTTTTGAAATATTGACCTTGCTATTTAAAGCAAGCAAATGCTTGTTGCAGGCGACATGATCCTTCGAGCCATAAGCTTTGCGGTTGTTGTTGATTTGTTGAAAGCAGTTCTGCGCCATGGAGGCAATGGAAAACACTTCCCTGATTTTAAAAGTAGAACACAAGTTTGGCCATGTATTGCTACTCACTCAAAATCATTATGTCGTAGCGCCTTCTTTATTCGAACTTGTGCAATTTCGAGAAGGATTTCTTAAAAGTCCCCCCGGTGGGGAGACACTCGGAATTGAGGTAAAAGTTTTAGCGGGAGTTTAACAATAGGTGCATGTATATATTTAGATGCAGTTTTGAATGGTTCTTGTGCAATGTCGTATCGTTTAAATTATTTCATCTCATGTGTATAAAGGATCTGTTAATTATTTCATAAAATTGTTGTATTAATGATACATACTATAAAATGGTGGTGCAATCTCGATTGTCAATGGCTTAGAGCCCACAGACAATTTTTAATGTCTTACAACCTACAAATTGTTAAAAATTATCTGGAGGTGCTCAGTCTCATCTAATAATTATCAATTAACTTTACATTGAAAGCGGCTGCATTGAAGATATTTGCTCTTCATAGTTTTAATATTACAGTTCGCCTTATATTGCTCTTTGTTTAAAATCGCCTATTGTGCTGCGTCCTTTATGCAAGTTTATGCAATTTGCGAAATGTAATGATGAATTAAAGTAGTAAAATTTGCAACGGGAATTTTAAAATTTACGCAGATTTGTTCAAATGTTATATTGGGATTCTAAACTTTCAATAATTTCCCTTATAATATCGTCTTTCATTCAGAACCAGTATATCGGGGGACAATATCTATAAAAAATTCAACTAAAACATACAATGAATGTAGTATGAAAGTAAAATACCTTTTCAGCATTTATATCCATCAAATGGTTGCCCCAAAGTCCACACAAATACAAGGAAAAATAAACGCAAATATCAATGTATTGAAGAAATTGTGTTGTTTCTCATTTGTTGACCAGAAAATAGTCGTATGTCACTCGTATGTACTCGTATGTTACTCGTATGTACTTGTATGTTACTCGTATGTACTCGTGTGTCACTCGTATGTACTCGTATGTTACTCGTATGTACGCGTATGTACTCGTATGTACTCGTTTGGTGTTTTACTCACGATCCCGGAATGTAGGGATTGCAGCATGAAAAGTTTAAGCGGGAATCTTTAAATAGAAGTTTACATGTGTTTCAGATGCATTTTTGAATGGTCAATGTGGAAATGGTATCGTTTAAAGATTTAATGACCACTAAGAATCTGTCTGCAATAAGGTTCTTTTCCTTTTCACTCCGTAATATAAATTTTGGAATGCAAAACATTTACGAACTTGTCCTATATTGCCACTCGAGCGCAATATCACTATATTGCCACTCTTATGCATTCGCCACGAGTACATCTCAGGGGACTGTTGGTAGAAATTCAAAATCCGGAATGGAAAGACAGAAGAATCGAAAGTTTGAGCGGGAACTTTAAAATATAAGTTTCATAAATGTAAGTGTATTCAGATAAACATTTGAAAGGACCATATGACCATTGTCTGCTTTGAAGCTTTTGTTCGCACTCTTCACGTGTATTGTTATGCAATCTTGACCACTACGTCTTAATAGTTTGACCACTACGTCTTAATAGTTTGACCACTACGTCTTAGTAGACACCTACGACTCTTAATAGTTTGGCAACATCCGATTACATAACGTGGGTTTGTAATATAAGAATTTATTCATTCTTGAGATTGCCCTACTTACGTAATAATTAAACCTGCTTACATAATGTTTGTCATTATTCAAATAGCATTGTTATGAAACGACATTGCACAATTCACGTTACGACATGCGGTAGTTTTCATAGACAGTTTGCAGGATAATATCAAACTTTCTCACTCATTTAGCAATTGTTCCAAAAATCTATATTTAATAAGCCCTTGTATGTAATAGTTAATTAAATGGATTAACTTTGCAAAAAAACTAAAGGTTTTTTAAATGTTATTTTGCAATTTGATGTCAAAACATGATATTTGCTTGGTAAGTTAAATATCTTTAGAAAGAAATATATTAACTCAATTTTTTTAAAACAGTTGTGAAATAAGTTTAGTGGAGAAATTGAGAAAGTTTAGTGTTTTTACATTGCATTCATGAAACTGTGATAAAGTATGATTTCATACATGGGCGTTAGAAAATCAGTAACCGCTGGGAACTCTTATTTATTTATTCATGATACTAGGTATTAGCCTCCTTTGCAATCTATTGTTTTCAACAGAATATATCATGCATATATAAATATGCCTCTCCGTAAAGATATCAATCTTCCTATGAGGATGAAATCTCTTAAAAGCTTTTAAAAAAAGGATAACAATTTAGGTTATTTATAAATTAAAGATAGTAATGATATATTGAATTTGTTTTTTAAGATTAGGCTTAGGTTTTTTGATGTACAGTGCTTCTTTTAGTTTTAAAGAAGAAGGAGTGCGGGCACTGTCTAATATACAAAAGCAGGATTGTGAGTATTTGTATTTGTAATGACGTGATGAGAGGAGGTGTTTGAATATGGGAAAGTTTTTGTTGGAAGTGGTATGCTCTTTAATCCGTGTGGAGAGGTGGCAGCTAGATTCTCCAATGTAGCGTGAATTACATCCCGCCAAGAGAATTCGTAAAGCACATTGGATTTTAAGAGAAAAGGAATGGGGTCTTTGAAGCGGAAGAAGTTTTTGATTTTAAAAGAAGAGAATACTAGATTTATGTCTAAGTTTTGGCAGAAACGTCCGACCAAGTTATGTAATTTTCGTTTTTGTAATTTGTGAGTAGTGGTCAATGTAAGGTAGCTTGAAGTAATGGACTTGTGGTTTGGCTTGTGTGTGGTCTTGTTCATTGTTAGTTGTGTTAGAGTTAGTGTCGTTGTTATATGTTTTTATTACTTGGTTTATGAAATGCAAGGCGTATGAGTTACGATATAGAATGTCGATAAAATCGTTTAGGTCACGTTGATAGCCTGTCTGTGTGTTGTTGATTTCTTTAATGCAATGAAGAAGAGTTTTTATGAGTCCTGTCGTGTAGCTTTGTAAAGTGAAGCTAAAAACTTTTTTACATACGCCACATAGACAATATTTTTGGTATTTTCAATAACGAAAGCGATGCCTTATCTTTTTCAAATACATGAATCAACAACACAAGAACATTGAACTTACTTTGTACAAATAACAAAAAACATGAAATTACCTTTTCTAGACGTATTTATAACTAAAAACTTTAAAACTAAAATCTTAAAGACCCAAAGTATGAAAAACTTGAAAAAATAATTTGAATTTTTGTAATTTTATTGAAAATAGTGCCAATATGCAAAGTTTAAAAAAAAGATTTGAAAATTTTAATACTTAGAACATATTTTTATGCTGTGACATATTTGTCACATTGGGCATTGAGGTGCGTGCTGCTCTAATATTTTGCTGAAACATGCAATTTATAAATAACACCAATTTATATGCTAAACCAAAAAACTTTTAATAAAACAGCACCCATAAGATGTCTATGAACTATTTATAGTAAAAAATGGCATTTTTTAATGTATTACAAGTATCAACTGATTATTCTCCATATACAGTAACTAAGGTGTTATCGCCTGGTATGATATTCCAGATAACAGTTTCTCTCCTTGTTGAAACACATGTAAACTTTGCACTTTTTACGCATAATATACGAGCGATTATTTTTACAAAGCTTGCAGCGTTGCCGGTTTTCATTGTCCCATTCTGGCATGTGGTCGACACAATCGTATCTAACATCATCTACCGGCACTGCGGTTGGTCGCTTTCTAAATGGGGGAGATGTGGTGTATGATGGACGACCTCTTTTCCTGCTTTTCCCAGCCTTTAACAAACCTTCTGCGACCAAGGATTGGAATTTGCTAAGCTTCATGAATTTACCATTTTGCTGATGCTTGCGATAAACAAGCCATGAGTTGACCAAGGCAACTTTCAAGGTGTGGTACCAGATGTACAAATACCATCTTCGGGACCTGATCGAATATCGATAGAGAGAGCAAAGCATGTCCATAAGATCAATCCCTCCCATGAATTTGTTATACTCATTAACTATTTCGGGTTTTGGAATGCCAACAAACTTCTTTTCTGTTTTGCTCCATCTCTTGGCCACTCCCATTGGCTGTGCGCCACAATAACTTGAAACCAGTGTCACAGCTTTTTTGTCCAGCCATCTTAGAACAACAATTTTCTTGTTTAAGTCAACTTTCATATCATATGATCCTCGGCCTTTTGATTTTAGGTCTTTTTCAGAGACTTGTGGACATCCTTTCAATCGGTTGTTACGAATGGTCCCAGTGAATTGAATCCCTCTCTCCCGAAGCTTTTCAACTAAGGTAAGTGAAGTGAAATATCTGTCTGCAAAAAGCTTATGGTTTTTACCAGAAGATAAGCTTGGTGCAAGTCTCAATACAACCTCACCGCTTACACCAACATCTGAACGATCAACGGTTTCTTCTGATTCCCCTTCATAGACCTCAAAGTCATGCATAAATCCATTTGTTGAAGCCCGTGCCCATAACTTGTAGCCCCATTTGGTTGGTTTATTTGGCATGCACACACGAGGACCATGTTTACCTTTGAATGCTACCATGACCTCATCAATGGATTGGTGCTCTTCAGGGGTAACTCTTAGAAAATTTAGTCTCAGCTGATTCAGCTATGGTCGCAGTTTCCAAATCCGATCTTGTTGTTAGCAAAATGAAGTGAGCTAAGGAGCTTTTGAAACCGATTCCGACTCATCTCATCAGCAATAGCTGGAAACCGAGTGGCACTTTCCCAATAAGCTTTCACTGATGGAAGCTGAATCAACCCTATGAGGTAATACATTCCAATTAATTTCCCCAGCTCATTGACTGATGTATCTACAGAAGCGCCATCCTTCTCTACACTGTAAATATTTGTTTGTTCGCAAATATTTTAAATCATCTCGCTTGAAACATATTGATGAAAAAATTCCAATGGTGATGGCTCTGGATCTTGCACTATGTATTCCTCACCAAGGAAAGGCACTTCTGGTGAAGCAAAACCATAGCTCCTCCATCTGTATGCATATTTTTTTGAGTGGAGCTGGAGGAATTCTTCCGCTTTTGTAATTCAACCAAAGGGACATTGTCAATATCTCCACTGTCACTTTCATCACTACTATTTTTTCCTTGCTGATTATTAGTACAGTCTTCAACCTCTTGGTCATTTTCAAGAGTGTATTCTTCTTCAGAATCCCCATCACTGAATTCAAACTCGCTATCACTTTTGTCGATTAACTCTAGTAGATCATTTACTGCAAAAGCTTGTCGACTTCTTCGCATACTTACATATATAACTGTCAACTGAATGAACTAAGAAAAGCTATGAAAAATAACATTATTTAATTTGTAATAATAATAGATATTATTTAATTTGTAATAATAATATTTACAGAGAATACATAGATGTATAATATCTCCACAAATGATAATTACAAAATATGGCAATTTTTCTACTACATTTCAATAATGCCTTTCAAGGTACTTAAATGACCAATGTGACATATTTGGCACGTCTCATTTCAAACCCAATCCACGATGAAAATTTATTTTAATGCCAGGATTGAACTATATTTTATACCTTAACTATAGCTTGTTTATATGAAACCGCTAAAAAGTTATAGCTTTGCCCTTTAAGTGCAATTTCTACCACGAACAACTCAAGGACATCAATACAATGCTCGAAGCGTGATGGCAGCCATTTAGAAATCGAAATATATCGTGTATGTCCTCTCCGTTTATTGAGTTTAATGATTTAATATGGCGGCCAAGAGTGCCATATATGTCACAATGGGTATTAAAGAGAGAAAATAAATATTTTAAAACAAGGACGTTCCCATAATAGACATGAGACATGTATGTCACCCCGGGTATGTAAAGGTTAAAGATATGGTAATTTGGTCTTGTGATGGAAAGTTTTTACGTGATTTGAAAATGCCATATATATATCCTTATTTTCGTAATGAATTGTACGGCTGTCTTTAGGCGATCAAAGAATTCCTTTGAATCTGAAAATTGTGCTGGTTAATCGCAAAATTACTCGAGAGAAGAAGTTACTTTCTAGATTGAATCATGAAAGTATTGTAAGATAAAAAAAAATTTACAATCCAAAATTAATCAAAATTATATAACATAAGGTTGAAAGGGAAGCTCAATTTAGAAGATACAAATTGCTTGGCTTAATAAATGTTATCTTTTGTAGAAACCATTACAAATGTTTAGATAATCCCTTTTTTCCATGAATCCCATGGTTGCTTTCGTTCAAGACGAGAGAGTTATAATGTATAAGGATCGAGGCTCTCTTTCATCACGAGAGAGTTATGAGAAAGTTACATTGTAAAACGTAACTAGTAAAAAACGTATAAACTTGCTTAAAGTTGGTTTGAATTATAAGTCAAAAAGGCAGAAGTTGTTTAAAGCTTTGCAGTATCCTTGGATATTACAGTTTTTTATGAGAGGAATTTTTGTAAAGAAAAAAGACAAATTTTGAAAACAAAAATCCCGTGTTCGATCCATGCCTCCCGATACCCCGAGATAGTTTAGCACTAGAACGTCGCATGTTAGTTAAAGGAACCATTTAATCTTGTTTGCAATGAAGTCCATGGATGGTTTGCTCGTGATACATGAGTAACAGTAAATGAGAGAATTAAATCAGAAAGATATAAACCAATAAAAATTGTATGAAACATGTTTAAAGTTATCTTGAATTGTAAGTGTCATAAAAAGGGAAAGTTTCAGAAGAATTTAATTGAAGCATTGCTCGGTTTATTTTATTTAAAAAAGATAAAATTCGAAAGCAAAAAACCCCGTTTTCGGTCCATGCTTCCCGATACCTTTTTAATCTCAAGGCACTAAAACGCCGCATGTTAACGTTTCGGTAGGAGATTTCGGCCCCTCCACGCTATCCTACTTGGGAGATGCAATAGCAAGCTTCCGCCCATCAGACCCCGAGATCACCTGCGATAGGCTTTGCTCGGTCCGACAGTTGGTCCGGTCCACTGCACATGCTCAAGCTAACTGCGCATGCGCAAATGATTTATCTGGAAATTTGTGACTAAGCGAGCTAATTACTCCATAATCGGTACTAGTACATACAGTTTGTCGTTGCCATGACCGTAAACTTGGAGATTAGGTGGAGCTCATTACGCATTCTCAGATTAAATCTCGATTAATTTGTAACGGAGCGAACGCTGAATTTACTGCTTTTGTATATGCCCTTAGCAAATTTTCAATCATATATTTTTGGCATGCTCTTTGTCTTTTTAAGCTTGTTTTTGACCATTTTAGAGATGTTTTTGTTTTTCTGCATGACTTTTGTATCTGCATATTTTGTGCATAAACAATGGTCTAATTTTTTTGCAACAGATATTATAATTAATGGATTGAGGTAGAAGAAATACTTCACAATGAAACTTCCAAAAGCGAAACAAATCCAATCGTGACAGAGGATAAACAACGACGCGAGGTTCAAGATAGATTGATGAAATTCAACGTAGTTAAAGCACCTAGCGTACACTAGAGAGTTGATGAGGACTCGATGACCAATGAAAACACAAATGATTCCAAAAGAAATATCGATGAATCACATATACATTTTGCAAGCTCGTTAACTCACGTGATTTATAGGTGTGTGAACCTCTCGTGATGTTGCTGAAGATATGTAAAAATTATTACCAGTGTCCGTTTCTTTAGGACGAGAAATCTGGTTTCGAAAGTGAAAAGGAAGCAATCGTCACAGGAGATTTGCAAAAAGATACAAATTATACTCTGCAAATTTTGCGTATGCAGATGTTGTATTGTGAGAATAGTACTCTAAGAAAGTTATTGACGAGGGATAGTACATAGACCAACAGAAAATGTGGCGACTTCTCCGTGAGATTATAGTAGGATTAGTTCACGTTCATTCACAGTTAGAAACTTTCGGTTATTGTATTTGCTAACGTATTTATGTGTAACTAAACATGAACAAAATATGAAAAAATTTCGCTCAGCTCAATAAATATATAGAAAGACTTATTATTTGCTATTTTTCTCTAATTTTTGCCGATTGGTATGATTCAAGTCAACGCGTTTCGACATTTTTGCTTTTCTATTGTTACATATTTTAGGCGTTTTTTTTTAAAAAGTCAACTAATGTCAAGGAAAAAGAGTTTGGTCTTTGGATGAATTGAATAAAGTTATACTTGTACTGTATACATATATTTTGTTTCGACGTCTACCTCCGGAGATCAGGAACTAATTCCTAGCACAGCAGCTTCATGGACATCCTTTTATCTCTTCAAATGTCATTTCGCACGATTTAAACAATAACATCACTTCAGATAAGCTTGACGCTGAAAAAGATCACGGTAGAAATGAAAATAGCTGTGATGATGGAGATGAGTATTTTGATTTGATGCCTAATCTTTCGGCTACGCTGCGAGAAATTCAAAAATTCGGAATGAATTTGAGGTGTTGCGAATGCTTGGTAAAAGAAGGGTTTGCTTCAACTGTCAAGGTAACTGTTTATTACATACGTCGTTTAAAGAGACGGTAATTTGGTCATGTGAAGGAAAGTTTTTACCTGATTTGAAAATGCCATATATATGGTTAGGTTCATAATAAATTATACGGGTGTCTTAATGCGATCAAAGAATTCCTTTGAATCCGAAAATTGTGCTGTTTAATCGCAAAATTACTCGATAGGAAAAGTTACTTTCTAGATTGAATCATGAAAATATTGTAAGATAAAAAAAAATTTACAATCCAAAATTAATCAAAATTTTATAACATAAGGTTGAAAGGGATGCTCAATTTAGTAAAAATCTTTTGTAGAAACTATTAAAAATGTTTAGATAATCCCTTTTTTCCATGAATCCCATCGATGCTTTCGTTCAAGACGAGAGAGTTATAATGTATAAGGATCGAGGCTCTCTTTCATCACGAGAGAGTTATGAGAAAGTTACATTGTAAAACGTAACTAGTAAAAACCGTATAAACTTGCTTAAAGTTGGTTTGAATTATAAGTCAAAAAGGCAAAAGTTGTTTAAAGCTTTGCAGTATCCTTGGATGTTCTAGTTTCTTTTATGAGAGAAATTTTTGTAAAGAAAAAAGACAAATTTTGAAAACAAAAATCCCGTGTTCAATCCATGCCTCCCAATACCCGGAGATAGTTTAGCACTAGAACGTCGCATTTTAGTTAAAGGAACCATATAATCTTGTTTGCCATGAAGTCCATGGATGGTTTGCTCGTGATACATGAGAAACAGTAAATGAGAGAATTAAATCAGAAAGATATAAACCAATAAAAATTGTATGAAACATGTTTATAGTTATCTTGAATTGTAAGTGTCATAAAAATGGACGGTTTCAGAAGAATTTAATTGAAGCATCGCTCGGTTTATTTTATTTAAAAAAGATAAAATTCGAAAGCAAAAAAACCCCGTTTTCGGTCCATTCTTCCCGATACCTTCTTAATATCAAGGCACTAGAACGCCGCATGTTAACGTTTCGGTAGGAGATTTCGGCCCCTCCACGCTATCCTACTTGGGAGATGCAATAGCAAGCTTCCGCCCATCATACCCCGAGA